CGGCCGGGGCGCGCGAGGGCAGCAGCGGCCGGAGCGTGGCCCTTGGGTGCTGCGCCTCTGCCGTCCCAGCCCTGGCCCTGCACCTCCTTTCCTGCCCGGAGGGCTGCAGGGTTGGGGACTCCGAGCGGGAGGCGGGGCGGATGCTCGCTGGCGCTCAGGGCCAGGTGCAAAGCCTCGGCTACAGTAACCAGCGGCTCCTGGCGAGGGCCGCTCCATTTTAAAGAGGCCCTGGTGAGAAAAGTAACTAAAATGTACCGAGAGCATAATACACTTCCAGGCACTGCCTTAGGATATGTATTTTCTCATTCAAGGCTCAGAACACTCGTAAGAGGTAGGAACCATAATTTCTATCCCAATTTTATGGATGAGGCGGTGGAAGAGTAGTAGCGCGAACAGTGGCGTTTTGTTTGTTCACCACGCTGTGAGCGCTCGTCAAACTGTCAGACTCCTCGAGGCCGAGGAGGGGAGGAAATCTGCCCACGAGCCCGGCGACTTTGCTCTTGTCACACGGCCTCGGGCACGTGTGGTCCAGCTGCCTCTCCATCCTCATGTTACCTGTGGATCCCCACAGATTCCGGACCATCTGGAAGCCAGATAACAGTGACCTGTGCTAGAAATTCGGATATCAGAGGGCGGAGGGGGTAGGGGACATGCCTTCCAGTTTATTCCTGTGGGCACTGATCTACCCTTCAGTGAAGAGATGCGCTCTATCAGGCCGAATGGGCTTTTCTCTCTCCCCGACTCTCTTCCCTTGCATGCGTTGCAAAGAGCTGCCAATTATTTGCCTGCGTGTGAAAAGACAGTTTTTAGGTAGCGTTGTCGTATGGATGGAGCCTGCGTTTGCCTGAGTTCATGGTTCAGTTTGGTTTCCTTAGAGACACCGACTCTTCCCAGTGGCTTAGGTCAGTGGTTTCTGCCGGTATGTCTGGGTTAAGCGCCAGGGAGGAGGCAGGAGGATCCCTGTTTTCAGGACTCCCACTCGCTTTGCTCCTGCCTGTCACAGCTCCCGTGGATGCCTGTGTCTGGTGCGACTGGAAATCCTGGTTTTTAAGTGGATGGTTTTATAAACCAGAATGTAGAGCACTCTTGAATTTCTGCAAAATGCAAACATTTAATTCTTGTTTTTACTGAAGCCACAGGCACAGGTAGAATCATACAGCTCTGTAGGGCTTATGACAAAGATAGAGCAGCGCCCGCCACCCCCCCCCCC